TATTGTCTATTGCTGAACATTTGTTGTCCAAGCAGTTATTGCAAAATTGATAGCATCCAAAACATTAACCTTTGTTGGATCAGTTTGCCCCACTTCATAGCCTTCTAATATCCTTCGATAAAATCTGTTACGATAATACACCTTGAAAGCTCTTATTATCATTTTGGATGTCATGTTGGGCGGCAATAAAAACAACTCTACATTTTGTAGTCCTTCAATTTTTCTATTATGGGTTGGACAATTATCTACAGTAAGCAAAACTCGTGTACCATGCATTTTGTGGTCAAACCAACAAATATATTCATCAAAAAAAACACTTGTCATCCATGCTCTTTTGTTTGCACGATAGTGACAATTCAATAAATATGATACATAAATTAGTAAGATACAATGATTTTGATGCATTCGTTGTACTTTATGTATAATAAAAAAAATTGTGAAATCAATAAATATGATACATAAATTACTAAGATGCAATGATTTTGATATCATCAAAATTAAGCTTCATTAAATCTCAGACCATTCTTTAAATTCATAAATATTAATTTATCGATTAAATATTATCTCTATAAAATAATAAAATGTAATCCCACCTACATTAATTTATAGAGATTTTAATATATATATATATATATATATACTAGTTTTACGGCACGTGCGTTGCACGTGTGTATCGTATATATAGTATATGATGTTGTAAAATAGAATTAATATTACTAAATTAAAACTTTTTAGTAAATAATTATAGTTGAACAAACATAGGACAAGTGTTTTTAAATTATTAATACATATTGTCATAGAGTTACTTGTATTTTGAGATCAAAATGATGACCAGATATTATTGAAATATTTCAAAATACATTCAAAGTTTAAATATGGGAAAAAAATAACATTTATGTAGTAATATTATTATTTACTTCACTCAATTTTGTAAACAAATCTAACCAAAAAAATTGAAAAAAACATATCCATTCAAAAAATGTCACCAATAGCCTTTCCTATTAAGGTTATGAGCATAAATGATGTATACCATTTAAGTACAATAGCCTTTCCTCTTGAGGTTATGAACATAAATGATGTACACCATTTAAGTAGAAATTTTGTCTTAAATATTCATACTTGAAATTTAATATGTGCATGCCACTAATAAGGATTACCATAAGTATTTCATTATTTTATCTTTATATGCAACATATCTTTGACAAAATATTATTACTCAATTAATATTTAAGTAAGGCTATCAGAGAGAGGTAATTTTACCGAAAAAGTATACTTGGTTGCTATCATAAATGATGGTTATATATACTTCAGTAGAATAATTTAATATTAATATATGAATAACATCACCTATGGTGAAAAATATTTCATTTCATTAAGTTTCTACCTTATCTTTGTGAAATTGTAGTCTTCTCCTTTTTTCCGCCGCATACATATCATATAGTTGTTGTCTAATGAAAATATCTAGTATCTTATAAAAGTTGTATCATGATATAAAATATTTAAATTTTTCAATAGTAAAAATTGATAGATGAATAAAATTTAAAGTATTATTTATAGAATCATTAATTTAATTTAAGCTCATTTTATGATCAATCACTATTTTCTTGTCTATTTTTATATAGCTAGTACTGAGTAAAAAAATTATATGGAAAAATACATAGTCAATGACGAAGGAAGACGAAAATATATGTTCATGCTAAATTCACTTTAGTGTCCCATTTGATTTAAATCTCTTGCCACCAACATTTTACTTTCTTCATTAATTTTTACATACATATCTATTAAAAAATAATTATTATCATGGCTATGTATCATATTATAAGTAAAGTAGAAATACTATTTTTGTAAATAGTGAATTTAACATCAAAACTAATAATTCAATGGACTACATTGATACCCATTGTTTTAGCAAAAATTAGGAAGAAACTCCTTCGTTTGAGGGAAAAGAATAAAAAATTAAAAAACAAAGAAGAAATATCTTACCCAAATCATATGCCTTTTATCATATCTTTTTAATAGTATTGTCTCTCCCACAACTTTCCGTCATTGTTAACTCATGAATATGGTAAGAAAAAAATACGAGTGTGAATTGATGAATGATTTGCTACAATTTTTTCACCAACTCTTTCTTATGAGGTACCTCGATTTTTATTGAATTTCGAACTTGATCAATTTTTGCAAATAACACTAGAGATTTTTTAACAAGAAGAAGAGTAGAGAACTTAAAGAAATTGTAGTTTAAAAGTGTGAGGAAATCCCTCTATTTATAGCTACCAAATATTAGTATGAATAGATGTTAATTGTGCCTTATCCGAAAAGTCACAACCTTTCGGAAAAGTCACTGCTTATCGAAAAAGTCACAACCCTTTAAAAAAGGCATAACTCATCAGAATAGGCACGACCACAACTCTTCGAAAAAATCACAACCCTTCGGAAAAGTCACAACTCATTGAAAAAGTCACAACTCGTCAAAAAAGTCACAACCCTTTGGAAAAGTTAGAACTCATTGAAAAAGTCACAATCCTTTAATTTGAAAAGGTATCTACTTTCAATATAATAAAATTAATTAAATTAATAACTAAAATAAATTAAGTATTTTTAATTGGAGTATTATAATAATTCAACATTCAAGTTTGAGAGTTCATGCATATAAGTATGTATATATATAAGAGGGATTTCCTTTGTATCCACTCTCTAGCTAGCCGCCATCTTAAACTTGTTCACCTCCAACCAATTTCTGGTGGCTATGGCCACCAGTTCACCCAGTCAACCCGCCACTGGGGTTTATCTACACCCAGAACTAACCAAACTTAATTATGCAGCAACTTTGAAGCTATACATACTGTCGTGAAGACAATTCCCATGAATCCCATTGCTTATTTACATGTTGAACCAAGAATAATTTGGGAAGAGGAAGAGGTAGAACAAATGATCATCCAGGAGAATCTGGAATATGCAGTAATTGGGAAATTCTCATATGGATGACCTGACATCCAAGATCTGAGGAAAATCATTCCAAAACAGTGCGAATTGAAAGGCGAATGCAACATAGGACTGTTGAGCAACATACATGTGTTGATGAGAGCATCGTGTATGGAGGACTACGTAAACATGCTATCAAAACCAGCTTTTTATTTAATGCACAAAGAGTGGTCATATCCAATGAGAACTTTGAAGTGGGATCCCATGTTTGATCCATTGGAGGAAACATCTACAGCTATTGCATGGATCTCCTTTCCATCACTACCTCCTAATTTTTTTGTTAAGGAAGCGGTATTTTCTTTGGCAGCTGCAGTTGGAAAGCCGCTTCAAGTGGACTTGGCAACAAAAAATCAAACGAGACCTAGTTGCGCTAGGGTGAAGGTGGAAGTCGATCTTCTAAGTGAATTCCCAAAAAGAATCAATGTGGGTCTTAGAAGGCAATCAAGAAAGATATGTGAAAAGTGGATCAAAATCAAGTACGATTATGTACCAAAATATTGCCAAAGTTGTAAAATACAAGGACATAATGAACAACAATGTTATATCATTCACCAGAGCTATATCCAAAGGAGGGAGGAGAGAGTGGAGGGAAGAAGAATAAGGAAGAAGAACTACATGATGGTGATGTTGATCAGAAGAAGAAGAGTGCGGAACATAACGATAACAAAGATCAGGAACAATTCAAGGCACAAAGACGAAAGAATGGAGCGGGATAGAGAAGAGAAATAAAAGGAAAAGGGGAACAAGTGTGGAACAAAAAGGGCACTCAACAGGAAAAAAATGTGGTGAGCACTAGGAACAAATTTGAAGCTTTAGCAGAGAAGGATGAGGCAAGTGATATACAAGAGATACAACCTGTGGATATCAAAGGGAGAGAGACAAAATAGTGGGTGGAAGAGACCTTTGGTGTGAAAAAGCATCACTTAGAGAATAGTGGGACAAAGAGCAACAATGAGGAAAGTATAACAATTCAATTAAGACAGTAAAAAGTCAAATACCACTTGGCTCTCATACAGTGGATAAAGGAGGGAATAATGAGAATGAGTATGATGCAAGAAGCAGCAACAAGGTGATAGATGAGGTAGAGAACAAGCAGGTAGATTAGAATAGCGGGGGGAGAGATCCCTATGAGCATGACGAAGCACTGCAGAGGGGAGACAATAGTATTCCTGACCTACAAGAGTTAACAGTGGAGGAGATGATACAGAGAAAGGATACAGAGGAAGATAAAGACATTGGGGAGAATATACAAGCGATAGGCCGGGATGGAGACTTATCCCCAAGACAAATCAAATACTTGGAGAGTGGAGCAAAACGCAGTAAGTTGTGTGCACCATCACTCCCTCTTCAAGTTGTGTGAAACTGATCAAAAACAATGTTGAAATAGTGATTACTTCTGTCTATGCTAGATGTGACTCATTTCATAGGCTGGAACTCTGGGAAGAACTGGAAAACTTAGCGCAGGAAGTCTCTTTGTCTTGGTTGGTGGGCGGTGACTTTAATGTAATTCGAAATGCTGAAGAAAAGGAAGGAGGGTTACACTTCACCCAACTCGAGGCTGTGGATTTCAATCAGTGTTTAAACAATTGTGCGCTATCTGAATTGAAGTTCTCGGGTAGTAAATATACGTGGTGGAATGGTAGGATAGAAGGGGCTTGTATCTTCAAGAGACTGGATAGAGTATTGTGTAATCAAGAATTTTTAAATATCCTACCTTCTAGCGAAGTACTGCATTTGGTGAGACAAGGGTCAGACCATGCTCCGTTACATGTTTCATGCAACTCTGATGAGGAAATAATAGCTCGACCTTTCAAGTTCCTAAATTTTTGGACTAAACATCCAAATTTTAAAAAGATCATTGAAGAGAGTTGGAATGTGGAGTTTGTGGGTTGTCCATTCATGGTGTTTTAGGCAAAAATCAAGAAGATAAAAGGAGTGTTATCAAAATGGAGTGAGGAGACCTTTGGGGATATCTTCCAGCGGATAGCAACACTAGAGGATGAGATAAAGGTGAAGGAATGTCAACTGGAGATAAATCCAATGCTGAAAATAGAGAGATTTTAAGCAGGGCTGAAGCTGAGTTGAAGAAATATATGTACATAGAGGAAGAGTACTGGAAACAAAAGTCGGGGATGAGGTGGTTTAAACAAGGCGACAAAAATACCAGATTCTTTCATAATTACATGAAAGGGAGAAGGAAGAAGCTTAACATAACAGAGATCCAAAATGCGCAAGGGGATTTGGTAAAAACGATTGACGATATTGGAGCTAAGGCAGTCTTGTTTTTTGAAGGGCAATTCAGGGAGAATTATAGACATGATTCAGATGACATGCTCAAACTAATTCCTAAAATGATTACAACGGAGCAGAACGAGGAGATGGGAAGAATTCCAAGCAAAGAGGAAATCAAAGAAGTGGTATTCTCCCTTAATGGAGAAAGTACGGGTAGTCCTGATGGTTTTTCGAGTATGTTTTTCCAAAGCTGTTGGAGTATTATTGGGGACGATATACAAAGAATGGTGGTCGCATTCTTCTGTGGACAATAACTTCCTAGGTTCATAACTCATACTAACCTAGTGTTGATTCCTAAGAAGGAACATGTTTGTAGCTTCACAGATGTTAGGTCGATCAGCCTAAGTACTTTTGCCAACAAGATAATCTCTAGGGTACTTCACGAAAGGATCACCAAATGATTACCTATGATGATTTCTAAGAATCAATCGGGTTTTGTTAAAAGGAGAAACATTACTAAGAATATTTTGTTAGCCCAAGAGATAATAAGGGACATTAACAAGCGAAAAAAGAATCATAATGTGATGGTGAAATTGGACATGGCCAAAGCTTACGATAGAGTATCATGGTTCTTTCTGATTAAAGTATTAAGAAGATTTGGTTTTTCAGAAACTAACATAGACATGGTGTGGAGACTTATTTCCAACAACTGGTACTCAATCTTAGTTAATGAGAGGTCTTATGGTTTCTTTTGGTCCCCGAGAGGGGTAAAGCAAGGGGATCCTCTCTTACCTACATTGTTTATCATAGCGGCAGAAGTATTGGCGAGAGGATTAAACAAGCTACTGGAGGATGTGGATTTCAAAGGCTATGGTCTACCTAAATGGAGCCCTTCAATAAATCATTTTCCCTATGCCGATGACACTATTCTATTCAGTTCAAGGGAAAGAAAGTCGATTAGCAAAATGATGGGGGTGTTAAGGGAGTATGAAAAAATTTCAGGACAAATGATCAATTTGAACAAAAGTTTTTTCTATCTTCACGATAACACACCATTAATAGTGGGTATTAGATTGCGGAGAATTACAGGAATCAGACAGGGTTCATTCCCATTCACGTATTTGGGCTGCCCTGTTTACTATGAAAGGAAAAAAACATCATACTTTGAGGAGATGATTAGAAAGGCTCAAAAGAGAATCATGACATGGCAAAATAAGTGGCTTTCTTATGGTTGCAGGATCATACTGATTGCAAATGTGCTACAGTCCATGCCAATATACTTACTATCAGCCATTAACCCTCCAAAGAAGATTACTGATCAACTCCATCAAGTATTTACAACTTTTTTCTGGAGCAAAATAGGTGGAGAAAGAGGGAAGCACTGGGTAGTGTGGAAGGATATATCAAGAGCTATGTTTGGGAAATTATGGTGGAAGTTCAGAACATCGACATCTCTGTGGAGGACCTTTATGTGGAATAAATATTGCAAAAAGGTTCACCCTTTAATTGCCAAAGGAACTGGGGCTTCCAATACTTGGAAAAAGATGACTGAAGTAAGAGAAGTTATAGAGCATGAGATCTGGTGGCAAGTTAAATCAAGAGAGGCCAGTTTTTGGTTTGATAATTGGACCAAACAAGGGGCTCTTTATTTCACTGAAGATCAGGCAAGTGGGGAGGAAGAACTAGAAATCCGACAGTTTATCACTGATGGAGAATGGGATAGGAATAAACTTTGAAATTGTATCTAAGAGGAAATGGTTGATTTCATAGTGGAAAGTATTAATTCGAGGATGGTGGATGGGGAAAAAGACAAACCTTGGTGGATGGGAAATTCCAACGGAATTTTCACTGTGAGTTCTGCATATGACATCATGAGACAAAGAAAAGAATAGGAGACTTGATGGAGATATATTTGGACTAAGGGGATTCCTTCTAAGATTAACTTTCTGTTGTGGAGGTGTTGGAAAGGTCGAATATCAACAGAAGTCAATCTTAAAAAGATGAGAATTAACATTGTCTCCAGATGCTACTACTATGAATCTTATGAACAGGAAACAATGACCAATTTATTTCTAACAGCCCCTATAGCTCAAAAGCTATGGAGGCAATTTGTTGATTGTGCAGGTATTCAAATACAAGAAGGACTACAACAAACAATTACAACATAGTGGGGAGTAACAACAAAAACCAAATTGAGCCTAATACTACTAGCAATTCCAGCTGTGCTAATGTGGGAACTGTGGAAGAGAAGAAATGCAAAGAGGCATGGAGCAGGGGTGGAGTTTCACAAGTTACATAGGCAATCTATAAACACTGTCTATCAGCTTGTAAAAACATTATATCCCTGGATTGACATTCCAAGGAACTGAGAAGGAATACTGAGAGTCTTAGACAGTTACAAGCCTCAATTACACCATCAAGCAATAAAATGGGAGAAACCAGTAAATGGAAGGATGAAATGCAATACGGATGGAACTTGTAGAGGAAATCCGGGAGAAAGCTCGTACAACTTTTGCATAAGGAATGAATATGGAAACCTAGTGTATGCAGAGGCAAAGAAAATATGATATGGAACTAACATGGAGGCAGAGTCCCTCGCAATCCTAAAAGCCCTAAGACATTGCAGAAACACAAACCTTCAAAGAGTACAAATAGAATCAGACTCGAAAACGCTCACAAACATAATAAGGAGACAGTGGAAAATACCATGACAGCAAACAGAGATAATAGAGGAGATACAAGAGCTAGTTCAAATTACACAATCCAGTATTAAACATATTTTCAGGGAAGCGAACAATCTAGCAGACAAGATGGCGAATGAGGCTTACAATCATGAAGAGCTAGTACAATATAAGAGCTTTAATCAATTATCAGTAGAATGCAAACATATTTTAAATACAGATAAAGCACAAATACCCATGTTGAGAATCAAAACAAGAAGAATCGGGAATGCTGGACATTAACATGAACATATGCAGAAGCAAAAAACAATCTTAACAAAGCGGCTCACAGAGATGAAGAGGCAAGATTCTCACAGAAAACACTTACCCGAGAGCACAAGTCTCCCATATCGATTACTTTTATGAGCTGAGAAAAGATGGAACTAGCGCCACCATTGTAGTAGGAGTTGATAATCACAACAAGAGAAGACGAAGGCTCCGAGCGGCGACATGGGAGTTGGTCGGAAGCTCAAAGTAGAAAACCCAATGATTTAGGGATCTGGTTAAAAGAGGGCTTTTTAGTTGGTCTGGACCTTCTCATTTCCTTTTTGTTGTTTCCATTCTTCTTTTCTTTCCTCTTTGGGTTCAATTGGCCCTTTTTGTACAGATTTAATTTTATTTTAATTTAAGTTATTAATAAAATGGAGCTAATAGCTCCGCATATGAATTTTAAAAAAATAAAATAAAATAAATAAATAATAATAATAATAATAATAATAATATATANNNTTCCATATATATATATATATATATATATATATATATATATATATATATATATATATATATATATATATATATATATATATATATATATATATATATATATATATATATATATATATATATATATATATATATATATATATATATATATATATATATATATATATATATATATATATATATATATATATATATATATATATATATATATATATATATATATATATATATATATATATATATATATATATATATATATATATATATATATATATATATATATATATATATATATATATATATATATATATATATATATATATATATATATATATATATATATATATATATATATATATATATATATATATATATATATATATATATATATATATATATATATATATATATATATATATATATATATATATATATATATATATATATATATATATATATATATATATATATATATATATATATATATATATATATATATATATATATATATATATATATATATATATATATATATATATATATATATATATATATATATATATATATATATATATATGGTAAGAAAACAAATATATTTGACATCCTCATCTGTGAGCATCGCATCACAACTTTGAACTTTGACAATGGTTTCCAAGTAAGAGTATTCGTTCCCACAAAATTCAATTCGCGAATTGATATGACAAGGTTGATTGTGAAGAGCTGACGAGAAGACTGAAAATCCCAAATCATAGTTGTATGTATGTATGTTTAGATGGATCCAGAGCAGACGTTTATACGGGTTCAAGAACGATTTGCTCAGATGCTGACGCCCAGGATCAGAGCTACTCTCGAGTATTTGTATCTCTTCATGGCCGTTACCCTCTTCTGTATACTTGTTGTTATGCACGCCAATTACGTTCAACAGGTTTTTCTAATTATTACAATTTTCGTTAGGTTTTTAATAATTGTTTCATTCAGGGGAAAAAAGTAGGATTACCTATGTTTATGCTTCACCTGCTCCCTCCTATACATATTCAGTCACTGACACTAAGTGAAACAATCTACAGTTAGGTCTTTTTGATTGCCCACAAGCACCAAATATTAGAGCTTTCAAAGAAATGATTATGTACATTTCAGGAATACCCTTGGTTTTTTTTTTAATTTACAAGATTGGGTATTGATTGTTTAGAATCATACTTCTATTTCTCTATGCCAGATTGTCTCATAATTAATAAAATTATTTACCTTTTAAGTTTTTAGAACAAAAATGTTGTTCTTCAGCTATCAATTTTGGATTGACCAACTCTCTTAATGCTTCTTTATGTAGGTTTCTCTTCTTTCTAGATATGGTGGGGTTGTTTGGGGGTGGGAGTTTCATTTCCTTTCCATGTAAATTTTTTAAGTAATGACTATAATTTTCTTATTCTCGTCTGAGCTATAATTTGTTCTGTGTAGCCTGGCTGTTCAAGTGAACTGTCTAGAGTGAACATCTCAGATGCACAACTCATTCAAATCAAGGTGAGTGATCTCATCTGCTGTTACTGCAAAACTTGTACCTTTTTATTTTCTCAAAAATAATTTTGTATGCATTTAGGTTTTGGGTTGTTGAAAGAAAAGTTAAAGCTGAAAAAAGTCTTCAGTGTTTTGTGTGTTTATATTTTGGGTTTGGGAAGTAACAACTTTAGTTGAAAAGTTTTTAGCCTGGAAGCAAGCAAAGTAAGCCACAGGTCATGGTGAGAACTTATTAAATGTATGACTTATGTTGTCCTTGTCAATGTTGTGCTAACTCTTCAAAATCGCCATCGCACCTGTGTTGACATGACATGAGTGTGGGATCCATACCAGATTTGGTCAACTTATCTTGAGTACTTTGACCACATTTTAGACCGTGAAGTATTGATTGGGTATTTGGTTTGATTTTTGGGTATATGTCATATATATATATTTTTTTTGATAAAGGTAACTTTATATTCACGTCAAAACTCATCAGCAGAGCATGATGAGGTGGGATTTACAGCCCCACAGGGGGTAGTTTCAAAAGCCAAAACTGGGCAAAAACTTTACAATTGAGCTCTAAAATCCACTAAGCTATCTACCTCCCCCACCAAATCCTGTTTACACCAAAATACAGCAAGCTCAAGCTATTCATCTTGATTTTTTGAGTGTTGTTAAGTTTCCCATCATGTGATCTTTCATTCCTTTCCTTCCACAATGTCCACCAAATGCAGGCTGGGATGCACTTCCACCAGTCTTCTTTGGATCTTCTTCTTCTGCCCACTCCTTCCCACTGTCTCAGCAAGTCTAAAGTAGTCTTGGGCATTACCCAGTTAACTCCAAGTATACATAAGAACATGTCCCACAGATTTACAGCTGTTCTGCAGTGTAAGAAAAGGTGACTGTTAACTTCTGCCTCTTCCCCACACATGTAACACCTTGAGCAAATCTGTATACCTCTTCTTTGTATCACTTCATGGGTTAGACATGCTTTCCTGATTGCCAACCAAGTGAAACCTGAAACCTTGTGAGGGATCTTGATTTTCCAAATTAGTTTCCAAGGCCATTCCATTTCCATAGTCTGATTAGAATTTAAACTCAAGTAACTAGACTTCATAGTGAAAATCCCTTTCTTTTGCATCTTCCAGATTGGAGTGTCAGGACCTTCAGTGACACCTGGAAATGCATTAAGTGTTTGTAGTAATTCTGCTACTCTGTCAATCTCCCAGTCATTTAAAGCCCTCCTAAAGATCAAATCCCAACCTTGAGGGCTCCACACCTGTGCCACAGTGTCCATCTGTTGTAGACTCAATATATAAAGATCTGGGAACATGATCTTCAAATTCTCTTCTCCTAACCAGAGTTCATTCCAAAAACTGGTTTTCACCCCATTCCCAATCCTAAAGGATAGATTGGGGATAAAAGATGGCCACAGTCTTCTGATTGTCTTCCAAACAGAGCATCCAAAAGTACCATTTGCTTCTTCAGTGATCCAATTGTTTTGGAGACCATATTTATGTGATATGAATCTCCTCCACAAAGCCAGATCTTCACTACAGAACCTCCATAGCCATTTCTTCAACAAGTTGACATTCTGCGTACACAAC